ATTTTCTTTGAGTGTGGGTATGAGGTTCCGTGAAACAAATTTTTTTTTCCGAGATGCGCTAGGGTTTTTTCTCTCCAATGCGTGGTTGTGTGGGGGGGCCCGCACTTGTGCGCGGGAGTATTCTTTTTTAAAAGAGTGTTTTTTTGCGAGAGAAAATTCGAGCGTTTGTGTGTGTATATATATATGTGTATATATACTCATATTTATATGATCATATATATATATATATAGATATATATATATATATATATATATATATATATATATATATATATATATATATATATATATATATATATATATATATATATATATATATATATATATATATATATATATATATATATACAATTCACCAGTTACTGCAATTAGTACTCATGATTTATATCGAATTGCTAAAAACCTATTCGTGTTATTTTATTTTCAAAATTACCTCAACCACGTAGTTTTTTTTAACAATCGCACCCTGTTTAGAGGGTTTGCGCTAAAAAAAATTGAACCGTAAAGGATTTTGGTGATGAAATAATTAACGGGGTAGTTTTATAGCAATTCAACATAACAGATCTTATATATAAAAACTATTAAAGCTACTCAACCTATAAAACCCTAATGGCATATCCATAATTTTTTTAAATCTTTCGTAAACTAATGCAATTTTGCTAGTCCGACTTTATAAATTATAGAGGTCTAACTGTAATTGCAATAAAACCCTATATTTTTACCATAATTTCGATTTAATATTTATTATTTTTCCAATTTTTGTGATTAATATGGAACTATTTATTAATGGTGCAGATGTGGGAGAGAATTTTGCTATGATTGTGGGGGTCCAAGCCATCAACTAGGAGCATGTAAATCTGGAGAAAGAGAAATAGGCCAACTATGGAGAATAATAAATTTTATTGTCGAAATAGGTGCATTGGTAGTACTGTTTGTTATTTGTATGAGTTTCTTACTTATAATTTTGTTTGCATTATTTCTTGTATTGAATGAATAATTTCTTATTGTGGGCCCGCATGGGTGTAGCTCAACTGATTTCGGAGGTGGTAAGTTGGTGCAAATAATTTCTTATTGTGGGACCCGTTTCTATACTATAATTTGATGGAATAATGTACTGATTTTTTTTTCTTATTTTTTTTTAATTAGAAACAACGAAAGACTTTATAACGAAAAGGGAATTCGGATTATATTAATGTTTTAAATTACGGTCATCAGCTGAGGTAAAGTTGATAAAGTTAAATTATGAAAAAAAATCTCTCATGTTTGGATAATTACAACAATTTTTATCAATTATGAATTTTCTTACACATTCACCATTTCGGTGTTAGATTGAAAACTTCTAGCTTATGTGTGATACTCTCAAATTTATACCCGTTTTATCGCATCCAAGCTCCACTTTTTATAAGATGATCATAAGATTTGTCTTTTAGATTGTAATGTCAGGTTGTGGTGCATCATATATTATGTTTTTGCACAAAGCGAGTACAAACTAGAGAACATTTCACGAAATCTAGAAGATTATATTGAATTTGACACCATAATAGTAATATTGTGTAAGAAACTTTATAATTGAGAGGGGTTGGTGTAATTACTAAAATATGAGGTTTTTTTTAATTTGTCTCGGAAATTGCTTTCTTCTTGCACCTCCACCCTTATGGTGTCAACTTCAACATAATTATCTAGATTTCGTGGAATGCTCTCTAGTTTGTACTCATTTTGAGCAAAAATACAATTTTTGATGCACTAAAATCTGATATATACAAGCCAAAAAACACATCTTGTGATCATCTTACTTCAAAATTTGGAACTCGAATGGGATAAAATGGGTACAAACCTGAGAATATTCCATATAATCTAGAAGATTCCACTAAATTTGAAACCGTAAGGATGGATGTGTAAGAAGATTTATAGTTGATGGGGTGATTGAATTACCCAAACATGAGGAATTATGTCGTAATTTGACCATTCTTTAGGGAGTTGGTTGTAATTTACCCTTTAAATTATGGTGATCATATGAAATAATTTGGAGCCAATAATTTTTCAGTTCCTCTCATAAAAAACATAAAAAAATGCAAAACCTTTAAGTAAATTATACAAAATAAAATAAAACACTTTACAAAAAATGATGATCCAAAGCAACAAAATTATGATTAAAAAGCAATATCCACTACAATATATTGAAAATATATTTTGAAGTATGAGATTTATGTCTCGTTTGCTTGCAATTATTAGGTTAGATTGATCAAATTGTACGAGTTAGTAAGATGTTTGGTTGGTAAAATTCGACATTACTCAAGCCTGCTACTAAAATTAAAGCCCGCAGTTAAGTGCTACTACATCATGAAATTATTAATACCCCTCTTCCCGGATTAATTTTGTCGGGGTGACTAAAACAGAAAATTACAATTTTATCCTTAAAACAATAACTTAATTTTATTAAATAAATGACTTTATCGGCAATTCACATTTAATAATAGGATTTAACAAATGTGATACAACATATAATCTAAAAGGGGTTATATGAGATAACCCCTTCATACAATTTCCTTAGAGGTTTAAATCCATTTTTATATTTACTATTAGGGATAACCCCTCACTTAGCATAATACCTCATTTACCCTTATTATATTCATAAAAAATATTAAAAATTAATATCAATTAGATTAATATATGCAAACACCACATTCAGTTTTTTTCTTTCGATTTCCTTTAAATAAAAATTGTTTTTTTTATTTCTACTTTAAAAAAAATAGTTATTTATTTATTTATTATTTTTAGTTTTTTTCAATTTTTTTATTTGTTTATTATTTTTAACTTTTGTTTTCTTTTAATATTAACTTTTTTCTAATGATAAAGTGCTAGTGAGGGGGTTTTCTCAAATAATCCCAATCTAAAATTCAAACGTATTATTAACTAATTAATTAGTTAACCAGCAATTCGGTATAATTCGATATAGGCAAGAAAACGAGGCCTTAGTATTTAACCCGGTTTATGCGAAGGCCTTGAAGAACCGGCCAGACAGCAAACCGGTTCCAACCTTCGTCTCTACAAGAACATAAAAGTAAATCACTGTAATTAATCATTTTATTTTATCGGCGAATTCACGAAGAAAATAAGCAAAAGAAAAAAAAAATGTCGAGCGACGATGAAGATTTCGTGTTCTTCGGAAAGCCGATTGAACGAGAAGAAGAAGTCACTACTCGCAAGAAGAAAGCAATTTCCGAGGCCTCTGGTCAGCTCAGAACCTCTCTCCCCGTTTGGAAACAAGAGGTTATAAATTCAGAAATCCCCCCTTTTTTTTTAGGGTTTCTTTATTTGTTTATTTATTATTAGGTTTTAGGATTACTGTAATTGGTTTTGATTGGGGTTTAATTGTGCGCAGTTTTGAAGATGCAAGGTTTTTGGCTTCTGTTCTTAACAAATGCAATTTCGAATTTGAGAATTAGAAATAAATTCAACTAGTTATTGTAGTTTGACATGATTTCGTTCTTCTAGGGATTTGGAATAAATAGCTTAACAAATTATTTTTCCCCCTTTTGTTTGTTTGTCTTTTAATTGAACAATTATAGTTTTTTTATAAAAAAAAAATTAAAAAAATAGCATGCTCTTCATTTTAATTTCTAATTTTCTGTTTCGGGTTTTAGTCTACTCGATACGGGGTAGCTCGAATGTTTTTGACACGGGTCATTTTTCCAGGTCACAGATGAAGAAGGGAGGAGGAGATTTCATGGAGCATTTACTGGTGGATATTCTGCTGGTTATTACAATTCTGTTGGTTCGAAAGAAGGTATTGTTTCGTAATTTGTGCAAACATTCTTACTTTGTATGGAAACACAAACTAGAAAGATTGACCGACTGCTGCCGGAAATTGCAGGGTGGACCCCACAAACATTCACATCATCCCGCAAGAATAGAGCTGAAGTTACAAAACAGAGCATTTATAACTTCCTGGACGAGGATGAGAAAGCTGTATGCTCTATAATTTCGTTTTTTAATTTATACTTAGAAATACCGTGACTTCAAGTTCATGAAAAGTATACATCTTTGTGTATATTGTGTACATTTTGTATTAACAGTGCCTAATAGTTTTTTGTATATTCTTCAAAAGAAAGAAATCGGTGCTTGACGAACCCATTCTATAATTTTTTTAAGGGCAAATTACTGCCACCCCAATGAGGTAAGGTCAAATTACGAAAAACCCCCTCATGTTTGGGTAATTACAACTACCCCTCAACTATGTATTGTTTTACAAAAACCGCCCTCCTTCAATAGGTAAATTTGACACTGTAAGAGTGTACGTGCCGACAGTTCATAGTTGAGGGGTGGTTGTAATTACACTAACAGGAGGGTTTTTTTTCGTAATTTGATCTTACCTCATGGGGCTGACCGTAATTTGCCCCTTTTTGAATAATTTTTTCCCTTCTAACCGTTGAGAGGATTTGTGTATCTAGTTATTAGAATATGTATTTATATATGATCTTTTATAGAGGCATATTGAAAATGAGTATACAAATAATGATCCTTCATAAGAATAGATATGGATTCTTGAGATAGGCTGGTAGCCATTCTTCTGATTCCTTGCATCTTTAACGGAGTTTCTTGCTCCTTCTGGTTGTCGAATATAACATTGATTATCAGCCCTTTTACTTTTACTCTAATATGATTAATGTGGAATTTGATGGTAAGAAACTTTGGGTCTTTTATTTTCGAGTCTTTGATTTGTTTTTTCAAGTTCTGATTTAATGTTCTAGGATATGGAAGGTCGCTCTGTGGGGACATCGATGCAGTTTGATACATTTGGATTTACAGCAGCTGAGATTGCACGTAAACAAGCTGATAAGGAACAACAACAGAGGTTCTTATTTTCCATAATAATCTATGGGTTCATATACACTGATTGTTGTATGCTTGTTCTGTCGATTTTATTTCTCCCTCAGTACTTGTTTGAAACTATGGGAAAATAATTGACGCCATCATTTAATTGATATATGTGTGTTTGAATCAGTTTTAAAGCAGGTTGTCTGGCTGCTGATTTTGATCCTCAACGGCATTTTGCCTTTGTTTAACCCAATTTCTGTAGCTGAAGCTACAGTTATTTGTGTCTAGGATTAATGATTTTATAAGAATATAATTTGTTCTTTGGATTCTATCTGCTCCCGTTTCTGTCTTTTCTCAACTAAATACAAAAATGTATATCTTTCTAAGTTGCTTGTGCAAATCATATTCAATTAGTTAAATGCATTTTATCTTTCAGTTCTGTTATTTTATCTGACGTCTACTCTTGCTTATTTTAGACCATCCACTATTCCCGGACCTGTTCCTGATGAACTAATAGTTCCCGTTACAGAATCTATAGGTTTGTGCCAGATGTTGGGTGATAATTAATTTTGTGCTGCATTTTGTGGTTTCATCTCTCATTTTTCATGCTTCTTTTGTTCAGGTGTCAAATTATTACTAAAAATGGGCTGGCGGCAGGGTCGGTCCATAAAGGATTCGAACAAGAATTCGATTAATGGTATTGTTTTTAGCACTTGACCATGTCTACTTACTTTTTCTTTCGATTCTTGTAGCTACTATGAATTGATTTAATTTTATTGCTTTATAGTACTTGACGGTAATTGTAGACCTTATATTATGCTTCCTTGCATCAAGTCACAAGTAATTTTTTTAAAACAAACGGAATAGTTCAGTCACAAAAATATATGTAACTATTATTTTGGGGACAACTATTAGTTAATAATGTTTAGTAAAATTTTAGGGTAAATTGCACCGACACCCCCGAGGTATGCTAAAATAACTTTAAGGTCCCTGCGGCATTGGTAATTACAGCCACACCCTTGAAACAATTACCGAAGCCAAGTTTTCATGTTCTGGGGACCAATATGCACTATATTTGTTTTCCACGGGGCCGTTAATGCTACCATAGATTAAAATTTATAAATCTTATATAAAAAATAAGGATTTAATAAATTTTGGGGGAACCTTGTCACCCCCTAGTTATATGTTGTCTCCACCACTTTCTGAAACTAATAGTCTGTTAGAACCCTAACAGAATAATTTATCCAATGCATTATTCAGTTGGGGTTTCTAACAATGTTTCAGGGGATCATTGTAATTACCGATACCACATGGACCTTAAAGTTATTTTAGACTACCTCAGGGGTGTAGGTGTAATTTACCCAAAAATTTATAAGTAGTTAGCATGCTTCGAGTGGTTTGTGGAAAATATTTTCTGCTAACACCTACATAAGATTTGAAAGTAATTTCTCTTGCTACTTTGGATTCCATTGTTCGAATATTGAATTGCTTCGTAATCCATCTGCTAATCTTGCATCTATCTTGTTTATCATTTTCATGAAGATGCTCGTAGACAAGCCAGAAAAGCTTTTCTAGCACTTTCGGACAATGCCGGATCGAAGAATGCTTACTCGAAACTGAATGAAGAGGATGACGAAGATGTCTCAGATCCGCGTGCCGATGATGAAAATCAATTTTCTAAAACCATGACAGTGAGTATCTGTATTTAAATATGTATCTTATTTTTATACATGTATAAATGTATATCCATATATTATATAGATGCATATATAAAATATTTCATTACACATTTTAGTACTATATAATTTTATTTGTGTATTTGTGTAATATATTATGTTTTATTAACATTTGATGTAACAGTAATTTTAATATTAAAAAGTTTTCGGGCGACAACTGTTTACGACAATTTTTACACATTAATTGTAGTAGTGAGATCTAATTCGAATCACAGTCTCATCAAAGTTGCCGAGATTTACAGTATATAATCTACACATATCATAGTGTGGTGTCTTCTACCTCAGATTTTTTCATTTGGATTCTGTTTTAACTTTATCTTTTCCAGGCACACGTATTCAACCCGAAGCAAGATCTGTTTGGGTTAGGCTACGATCCTTTCAAGCAAGCACCGGAGTTTAGGGGTATGTGATTTTATGGGGCAAGATAACTATTTGCAAATCTGATTTTGTAATTTCGTGGAAAGCAAACTGATCTTTCTTTTTTTTCTTTTCCCAATTTAGAAAAGAAAAGATTAAGAATGTCCGGAAAAACAGAGATGGAGGGTTATAGGTCTCTATCCATAAAAGGTAAGCTTTTCTTGTATGTGACATTCGTTCTATTATTGAAGTCCAGCTATCGTTGCACATGTAGAGGATGTTTTTCTAAGCTTATGAGCTGTTAAAATAATTTATAAGACGTTTAAAGCTTTTAAACTCTTCAAAAGTGTTTGGTAATTTTTTTCTAAAAAGATCTTAAAACTTCAAAAAATTATGCTGATGGAGAGCTTATAAATCTTGTTTAAATAAATACATATACCCCCACGTTTTTATTTAAGATCGTATAATCAGTAAAAAAAAATACTTGTATGATCGTTATACAAAAAATTAATTTTAAAAATAAAACGTAACAACTTATCCACTCTTAAAACCCCTTTTTAGATGTAAGAACTCATCAGATATTTAAAGTAAGCTTAGCCAAACACCCTCTTATGTGGCCAAGGCTTCTTCTGAATCAATTACTATACTTGTGTGCAGCAAAGGTTGGTCCTGGTTTTGGTATTGGTGCCCTTGAAGATTTAGATACAGAAGACGCAGATGTATATGACTCGGGTTAGTATGTTTAACTGGTTCTTGTTATACTTCAAGTATTTTGCTTAGTCTGACAGCTTTACTTGATGATTGGAGTAAATCGTAAATGATTTACTTGATGATTGGAGTAAATCTTAAATGATTTACTCCAATCAAGCATATGCAATCTTTTTATTTCACTGCATTATAAAGGATTAATACGAGCACATGCAACATGTTAGAGGATAAATTGTAGACAAAAGTGGGAGGCTACAAATTAGAATTCTGTTACTCGTGTTTATATATATATATATATATATATATATATATATATATATATATATATATATATATATATATATATATATTTTATGGAATGGCTCCTATTGTATGTGTTCCTTTTTAAAGTTATTACCTTCCTGACATATAATGTTTTGAACAGGTTATGACTTTCAAGATACTTACGTGCAAGAGATAGAAGAACCATCAAAAGTTAAAGTGGATACTCTGCGGATACTAAATGTAAAGAAAGATGATGTTCTACCTGGTTTTAAAGCTGCATCAAAATCCGAGGGTTCACTGGAGAGGTACTTAATGATGCGATTACGTTTTTTTTATATCAAAATCAAATAAATATATTGGCGGTCAGATGCTATTAAATCTTGTATATTGTTGGTGAATATAATTAAGTAATATATTTTGCTCGTTGTATGCGTGTGATATTTACAGATTTGACCCTCCTGTAATTCCAAAGGATTTTATCCCCCATCATAAGTTCCCAGCTCCTCTAGGAGTTGATGACAAGAATGCTGAAACCCCTCCACCGGAGGTTTCTCCTCCAGAGGATAACAACCTCAGAGTGTTGGTCGAAGGAGTGGCAACTTTAGTTGCTCGATGTGGAAAATTATTTGAGGATCTCTCTAAGGAGAAGAATCAGTCAAACCCGTTATTTGACTTTCTTCGTGGAGGAAATGGTTCTGATTTTTATATAAGGAAACTCTGGGAAGAGCGCCAAAAACGTGGTGATCAAGCCAAACTGTGGGAAGATAAAAAGCCTCAGAGTTCGGAAAAGCTGACCGCCGAAAAACGTGGGAAACTTTTAGGTGAAAAAGCTTTGGAGAGAAGCTCGATAGAGACGAGCTCTTTGGTTGCTTCTCTTGGCTCTGTTAATGTCCAATTTAAACTGGCGGATACGTTCACCTCGACACCATCAGCTGTGAGTAACCATTTTGTTTTTAATAACCGAGTTTGTGATATTTTGAATATTTTTTCATTTTGTTTGTATTTTTATGTTAGAATGAGCAAGGGGATATTAGGAAACCTTTCCATGATGACCCTGAAAAGCAAAAAAGATTCGAACAGTTCATGAAGGAGAAATACGAAGGAGGTCTTCGAACAAAAGACTCTGGTGGGTCCAGTAACATGGCTGAATCTGCTCGTGCTCGTGAAAGATTAGAATTTGAAGCTGCAGCGGCTGCTATAGAGAAAGGAAATTCAGCTAAAGGAAAAACGGCGACCAATCAGTTGCTTTCAGATTTGTCTTCAGGGTTACAGTTTACAATTGGTGGAATAGAGGTATATTTAGCGTAATGAAGATTTTTTTAATTGAAGGATAATTTTTTTTACTTATGCAATTCGACGCGCTTATTGTCGTGTGCAGAAAGATAAAGCTTTGCAGTCTGAGGAGCTGATAGCTAAGGCAATGTACCCGAAACGGGAAGAGTTTCAGTGGCGACCTGCGCCTATATTATGCAAGCGTTTTGATCTGACTGATCCTTACATGGGGAAGGTATTTTTGATCTCGTTCAGTATTATCTGTTCCCTCGGTGAATATGGATGTGGTTCGGTTGCGTGACATTTGATTTTTCTTTTTTTGCTTCTTTTAGGATTTATTTTGTTTCGAGTATTAAGAAGTGTTTCAAAAATATTTAACTAAATTTATATCCCTAATGCAGCCACCTCCTGCTCCACGCATGAAGAGCAAAATGGACTCTCTAATGTTCATGCCGGATTCCATTAAAAAAGCAAAGGTGGAAGAACCTGTTGTACAAGACAGACAAGAAATCGAGAAGGAAGTTGAGAACGAGGTGGAGCCTGAAAATGTTGAGAGGCCCGTTGATCTATACAAAGTACACTCATCAAATCTCTCTCTGTATATATAAATATATATTATATCGTTTCTCATGTGTTGATATTTTAGATATACGTCTATCTGTTGATATCAAATAACTCGTTCCTATTGCAGGCCATCTTTTCTGATGATTCGGACGATGAAGTGGAAAATAGTACTACATCCAATCAAGTGGTGGATACAGAAAAGAAGATCGAAGCTGCAAACACCACGTTGAATCGGTTAATAGCTGGAGACTTTTTAGAATCACTGGGGAAAGAACTGGGATTAATGGTACCCCCCGAGAATATTCCTCTGCCGGAAAATAAAACCGGTTCAAACACTGCTCACAAGGAAAGTGTTAATGCCAACAAAGTAAATGAGAATTCTCTGCTGGCTGAAAAGAAGATACCACCCACTCAAAATGTCGTACGTAATTCAACCAATGATTGCCTAAACGAGAACTTATTCGTAGATGGTAGTAAAATTGCAGTTAAAGACTCAGTTGAAGATGTTAGTAAAGGTAATATATCTGCTGAGGTGGGTCCCGGTGAAGAGAGATACACGAAGACTCGGAAAAGTCGGAATTATGGCAGTTCTTCAGAAGATGAAAGGAGCAGAAAACACTCGAAGAGTCGAAGGCATAAAAGCAGAAAGAATAGAAGTTCAGATAGTGATACGGATAGCGACTCAGATGATTATCATCGCAGATCAAGTTCGAGGAAAAAAGATAAGGAAAAAAGTAGCAGCAGAAGGCATAGTTCAAAGCATCACAAACACAGAAATAGTAGCTCCGGAAAAGAACATAGTCACAGAAGAAAGAAGAGTAAATATGATGACTGAAGAGGAAAAAAAATACTTGAAATCGAAACAAACGAACAATTCAAAGCTTGAAAAATATTTATTTGCAAGTTAATTGAGCAGAGTTGTACTGTGCAGATCTTAACGGTGTTTATTGCGATGAATCTGCGGAGTTAGTCGGTTGTGATATTTCAGCTCTCTTCGTGTATCTCTAGTTTGATGATAGAAGTGGCAAAGGCTGTAATTCGATTGAATGTTTAATTTTCGGGACGATGTTTTAATGTAATATTCAGTTTTTAGAGACTGAATGAAAGAGAACCAAGAAAAAGAGAACCACGCACTCGCATACTATTCATACTGTATTGAAGGAACTCGCAAATTATTAACCGCCAACTCTCGTTCTTGTGATTTGAGCTTGAATGCGTGCATATGTTGTGAAGTTATGTAGAAGGTGAATTGTTTTTTAAATACTCGAAATTTATTGAATTGTTGAAGCAAGAATCACGACTAGATGACGTTTTCAACAGCGTAAATAAACCTACCATGATAAAATGGTTCGAGTTTTAAATAAATAAATGAATTTTGCATAAATTTTCTTCATATTGTAAAAATTATTCACCCAAATTTCTATATATTACAAATAAATTGTACATAATATCTTTCATAATTAATGGTGTTAATTGTTAGTAGAATAGAATATTTCATGCAAGAAAAAATGAAATATAAGAGATTTTACACAATAAAGTTAGAACAAGAGAGTTTGGTGCAAGTTTCTCTTAAGTTAGGTTTTATGCTGTTTACCCGATATATATTGCCAAAAACCTTTTAAGACAAATCTATACCTTTAAAAGTATGGACCCCCGAGGAAAGAAGGAGCGCTTCTGGTTCTGTCGGTACTTGAAACAATTTTGTTTTCTCCATATTATTATATCTCTAGAGTCAATATAGTTTCTTTTGTATCTAATTAATCCAAGTTACTTTTTCTATTTGTTTTTTTCTTGATTTTCTTCTATAATAATTATCATTTGCAATTTATTGTGTGTATAATATTTGTTTGCAATGTTAACTATTTCTTACGAATAGCAAATAGATGAAAATGTATCAACATTTATAGAAGTCAAGTGATTTAATTATTTATAAGGTTTGTTTAGTTTATATGCTTTTTTGTAAGGATTTCTATGATCTATTTGTACGAACATTGAGCTTATTTTGGTAATTTAAATTTCACAACTAATTATTTTAATACTGTATAATTAATTTTTAGTACAAATTAATTATCATATATTTAAATTTTCTTCCTTTGCTACTCTGTCGCACAACGAGAATTTTAGTCCAATGTCATTAATTTAAATTTTTTGAGTACAGTTTATTTATTTATTATTATTTTTTATTGAGAAAAATACGATGAATATTTTTAGTTAGTTAAAGCCTAAAGGTATCGAACTAAAGAATCATAGAGGAGATCTAGAAGTTAACAAAGAAACACGATCAATTTCAAGGATATGTAATGTGTGTGCGCATATATAAATATATATATATATATATATATATGAAACCCTAACTTGCCTTAGAGAACATTTGGACTACAATTCCTCGGAAAATACTAGGACGCAAAGAAGGCGAAAGGGACCAAAATGTCCCCGAGTGTGAAACCAGCAACAGATGATGGTATGTGTGAGTGTATATATATATATATATATATATATATATATATATATATATATATATATATATATATATATATATATATGGGTGTATCATGTATGCTTGTGTATATATATGTATATTTGAATTTATTGTTGCTTTTCAGAAATAGGCAGCATGGAAACAAGAGAGGTATCACCCGCACATTTTGTGATCAAGATTGAATCTTTCTCGTTGCTTGACAAGTGCGGAATCAAGAAATACGAGACGAATGAATTTGTGGCAGGAGAATACAAGTGGTATGTATGTACTTTGAAAAATAATAAATCTACACACACATAGATCTACGCACACTTACGCATATTGAATGAATTCATCGTAAATTATGAGATTTGACTATCTTTTTCTTTTTCCCTTCTAGACAATATAATATATTAATTCTAGAGAAAATGGAATTTCTACAATAAAAGCAAAACCCTCTGATATGATTGGAGAATACAAATTCTTTCTGCGCGCCCAAAATGTATTTTGATTAGAATCATTAGGATAAATAAGAAAATGATTCTATTTGGACCCCCCTCATATGAGTGTTTTTAGGAGTGAGTGGTTACAAAAACAAGTGGATGGTCAGATTTTACCCGTTGTATTTCATCAGGCTTAGGTACTAATTAACAACCAGCATTCACTTGGAAATTAGTTAATTAGACACTCATTTATTAATCTTAGTCTAAATTCACAAATAGACCAAAAGATTACTATTTATTCTAAAAGTAGTGTCTTTAATGTATAACCACTAATTATTTGCATATGATTCATAATTATTTACTACATATAACTTTTCATGGCAACTCTTGACTGTCTAGGAAGCTAATAATCTATCCTAATGGAGACGATGACGAAAACAATGCCGATTATATTTCTATATATTTGGCTATGGTGGGCACAAGTACAACTTCTCTGTTGCCCGCAAACTGGGAGGTCAATGCCGTCTTCAATATCCTTATCCTTAATCAAAGTTCGGGCAATTATCTTTTTTCAGGTAATATTTTTTATTCCATACAATTTTTTTCTTTTTTTTTTTGTATATTAGGAAAAAAAATACTTATTAGCCAAATATGACATGTACAGGAGGAGCAAGACGTTTCCAAGCAATGAAGTTGGAGTGGGGGTTTTCCAAATTTATATCCAAGGAAATTTTGTTGGACCCGACGAACGGATATCTAATCAACGACAACTGTGTGTTTGGTGCTGAGGTTTTTGTGGTGAAAAGCGAATCGGCCGCAACCGAATGTTTGTCTTTGAAGAATGTTGTTATACCATACACGCATGATTGGAATATTACAAACTTCTCCAAATTGGAAAATTCTTGTGCTTTGGAAGAATTCGTTGTTGGAGGACACAATTGGTATACTTTTTTTGTATTACAACTACTATCTATATATATATATAGATATATATATTTGTTGTATCGTTTTATCCTTGCACTTGTTATAGTGACACAATTTTTTTTTCTTCTTTTTAATGTATTTTAGGAGTATTACTCTTTGCCCGAGAGGCTGGGGAGAATTAACCGATCGGTGTGTTATCGTGTTGGTAAGCTATATCGGTTCCGTTAATTATTCCAGTAGAGTGAAGGCATGTTGTACCGTCAGCATAAAAAACCAGGTCAATAATAACCACGCGAAGAAAACTGGTAAGTGTCGAATGCCTACTTTCAAAATCCGTTTAGTATTTTGCATTTTTTGTTACGAGTTTTTCGGAAGATTGGTTCGAAACCAAAACAAAATTTCGATAGTGTATTACGTGTAACTCTCCTATGTTTCGACAAATTTGCATGAAAACACCATGATTTCATTCAATTCCGTTATCTATTTTCAGGAGAAAAAAATGAGAAAAATACATTTTTCGTCCCTCAAGTTTACACCGATTTCACATTTGGTCCATCATGTTTCATTAATTTGACACTTTTGGTCCTTCCGTCAATTTTCTGTTAGTACTAACGGAATCAAGTGTGTGCACATCACTGTCTTAACTCTTAACTGACGTACTAACGGTAAATTGACTGAAATGACCAAAAGTGTCAAATTATTGAAACATGAGGGACCAAATGTGTTTTTTGTAAATAAGGGGGACTAAATGTGAAATCAATGCAAACTTGAGGGATAAAACTGTGATTGTCCTAAGAATAAATATACAGTAGAACCTCGATAAATCAGTAATCTCGTCTATATAATAATTTATTGCGGTCCCGACTTGGTGAGAGCATATTAATTTATTAGTTTGATAATTTAATATTTTGCTAAATTAATAAAATTTTAGTCTCGACTGTATTAATTCATAGAGGTTTAACTGTAGTTGATACGAATTTCGACAGAGGGTTAATACTTAGTTTGTCGCCTACGAAAAATAGAGAGTTTTTGACAACACTAGTTACATAATTTTATCGAAACAAAAATATTAAAATTAATTATTTGTCTTGCAGGTACTCAATGGTTTACTGCTACCAAACGTCATTTTGCATGTGGACTAACTAATGTCACGAATCCGAACAAAGGATTCATTGTGAACGACTGTTGTCTTCTAAATCTAGAGATGTCGATCGAAGCTGTTGTTCGATGATCAACGATCTTCAAGTTTCTAAGCTCACCCTTTTCCTAAACACCCTTGTGATAATGTATCGAGTAGATGAAAAATGAATTTGATATTCAGTTCTACTTCTTAGTTGAATAGTCTCGACTGTTGATGGATTGTTGTATAGTGTTTGGAAAGTTTCGATGATTGCTAAGTTCAAAATGATAGTGTTGGTATCCGTCCGGAGAAAAAAAAAACAGTAATAATTCTTTTGACTTTTTATTATGTTTGCTTTTATTGAACGGTCAATCACAACAATATTTCTGTTTAACCGAATAAAAAATATTGAAGAAAAAAAGATTAAAAAAAAGTCAACGCCGTTGGATACCAGCGTTCACCGCCGGTCAGCGGTAAGAAGAAAAAAATCGAAAAAGTCAATGTCGGAGACCCGACAGAAAGAAGAAAAAAAATCGAAAAAGTCAATGTCGGAGACCAACAGCCAAGGACGGTGAGCGCGAAATTGTACTCAAAATTGTGTTTTGGGTCAAAATTGAATAATTGATGAAATTTGGGCTTAAATTGAGGTCAAATTGACTTTAATAATGAAATGTGAGCATATTAAAATGTTATGTAGTATATTAGTCTTTTACACAACTCTAGACAATATCTGGATTTTTTTGTAAAATAGATTTTTGTCTGGATCATTTTATGAATAAATATCCCATAATGAACTATTTTGTATTGGACCGTACAAAAAAAATTGGTTTGACCTATCCTTATTGAAAAAAAAACTTGGGGGTTGTCACTTGTCACTAATAGGTCATAAAATTTAATAATGAGAAATTTACAATTTTCATCCGTCAATTTTGTAAGGATTTTACATTTGGTCCCCATGTAAATAAAAAAATACATTTAGTCCCTCAAGTTTTAATAATTTAACAATTTTAATCATTTCCGTCAATTTACTATCAATCTTTCAGTTAAGGCAGTAATGCGCACACGATTGATTTCGTTAGTAATAACAAAAAATTGACGAAAATGACTAAAAATGTTGAACTTTTGAAACAAACTAAGAGGGACTAAATTATTTATTTATTTTTTAATTTCTTTTTATTATTTTTTTTATGAATAAGGAGGATCAATAATGAAATTCACGTAAGCTTAAGTCGAAAAGTGTATTTTTTCCTATTTAATAAGGGGTCTTGAGATATGAATCCCTAGTGAAAAAAGTTATTAGATGTTACCCTCAAGCCCAATTAAACATTTGTTTTAAATCCTTTTGTAAATTTCTACCCATACTACCCCTACACCCCACTAACGGCGTTAATGAATTAATTTGGGAAAAACAAATGAAATCCCATCAGTCTCGCCACGATAATTATCTCCTGCACACTAAATTACCCAATTTCCTCAATAATTATCCTACCTTTTTCTCCCGATTTCATTCGCCTAATCCCATCGTCGACGAAAACTTCTAGGCGACACCATCAATCGTAATCGAAAAAAGAGAAAAAATCTTTACCATCACCGCTCTGTTCTACTGCAGACGACTACGCCGACGAACCGAACAAGTGAGTTTTTTTTTTTGGATTAACCGGCTCTAATTTGACTAAAGCTAAATTAGGGTTTCTATCGAATCCAGAATCGCAGCGGAGATGCGGATGAAAGCAAGGCAATATATTAAAGTATTAGACTCTGGTAAGAATCGCATTTATTTGCTAATTTGATAGAAATTTAAATGACAATATGGATGACCATAACTGTGTACAAAAATTGGTTGGATATTGTGTCAAAACAACATGTAGATGCATTCATCCAAATTAAAAAGAGCATTGCAGTAATAGAAAAGGTTAGGCATTAAGTTTAAGATGAATTTTGTAGTGTTAACAATTGATGTTATTTGGTTGGTTGGTTCAGGTTTACTAGTCGGGTATCTATGTATTTCTATAAATTATGTTGTTGTCCGTGCATTTATTGTTGTTTCTACTGTCTAACAATTGGAGTACATATGGGCGTCTTGTTCATTAAAGAGACAACAGACATTTTTAGGAATATTATGTGTGTGTAGATAATGTATGTCATAGACATGAGGAGAAGTATTGTAGAGTTTTTGCTAAATTGCAAGTTGGATTGAAATTTTACTCATTTTGTTTGGTCTTTTATATGCTTCTTTTTCTCCTATCTGCAATTGTATGTAATATATGTAGTTAACAGTAGACGCATTCCATAAGAAAATGAAATTCGAAATTCGTAGGTGAGATGCGGTCGAAATCGAAGCCTGATATAAACACATTACACGCTAGTAAGAAACACAATTTTGTGCTGCCGGTTTGATTCTATATTGTTAAATATTATGGGTAACTATAAGTGTTTACGAATTCTGTTTTTTAAAGAAACAAAATATGTCGGCAGAGTTTAAATTACATAGAGAACTATAGTCATTTTTTATTAAACATCTATGTTTGTATGATTTATATATGTTCCAAAGAAAATAACTTTGGTTAACTACAGATATTTGCTGTGTACATAACTTACTGAAAAAATGGTTGAACTGCCCAAATATTAAGGTTTACATACATATGTAGACATTTATGCTTATTGTACAATGATCTATGTTACATGATGACAGAACAAAGTGTTGAATCTCGCTCATAAACAACGAGACCAATGTGGATACAACTCTCCAGTAGTCCCCAATTTAGTGACCAACATGTTCTTCTCAGATTCTACAAAGGAGTTCATAAAATAGTGGATGTTCAAGTACTCGGACGACATACGACATAAACAATATGAAACAATATGATTGGCCTCGTGGCATAACTAAATTCTTGCACAAATCTATCCGAGATTTAGAACCTGCAAAAAATATCGGCCGTGTACCTTTAATCATGGTAAACATTCATTAAGAAAATGTAGTAAATCATAGTCTTTTCATAGACAATCATAGTCCATTACTGTATACCATAGACAATCACTATCTTTTCATAGTGTTCTATAGTATAGGATAGACAATCATAGTCCATTACTGTATACCATAGACAATCACTATCTTTTCATAGTGTTCTATAGTATACTATAGACAATCATAGTCCATTACTGTATAACATAGACAATCACTATCTTTTCTATTTAACAATCCACTTGCAACTTATGTCAGAAAACTGCTAATTGATGTTTAATCTGTAACTAACAATTGTTTCTTATTCTATTTGCAGTACTCGATATGCGAGCGTACCACGCTGCTCACCCCCATGAGACCAAATGCATTCCCCTTTATAGGAAATTGAATGCACCGGACCTAGCAAAGTTGTTGAAAACAAAAGTAAATGAGCACGTATTACCGACGACTAGAAATGTAACGGCAAAAAGAAAATGAGCATTTATTTCTAAGGGACCAGAGTATTGGATTCGAACAATGAAGAAGATAATGGTTCAAATATTGACCATAGAAGTGACAATAATGTCGTGTCTAACAAGTGTAATTTTGATAACAATGTCGTGTCTAAAGAGTGGGACAAGAAGTGACTGTTCTGATAATTTTACTCGAATTGTTTTCCATAATTTTCCAATTTTTTTAATCAATTATAATTATTCCTATGTTTGATAAAAAAATTATTAATTCAAGTTAATTCTCATTATTTTGACCAAATTTGTCAGCATAACATAACGAAAAGTATTCATTATCTATGGCTGTCCACTATTACTATGGTTTACTAGACAATCATAGAAGAAACAATAAAACATGCACAACTCAAACTAGTTTGAGAACTACGTACAATAAAGCCAAACACATACAAACTCATAAAACCATTAGAAAATGCATACACCAAAAACATAAACTCATAAGTAATCCAATAGCAAGTAAAGTTATCCGATTACAACATGTCAAACAAATCTGCTGCATCAATGGGAAACATAATAATTGTAAAAAAAAAAAAAAAAAAAAAAACAACAACTGAAAATACATATACAGATCTGGGAAAAAAATTATGCAACATAACATTAACAAAATACAAATAGTCCTTGTACATGGTTTCCTAGTTATGATTCTCAAGTTGGTTACACCGGCTACACTTCACTATCATGGACACACTCTCCCCCCTTGAAGGTTTCCTCTTCGTTTTTCATCCTACAACGTTTAGGCTGGTAGCCAGGAGGATTAATGACAGTTAAATGAAGGTTAACATCTGGTCTTGAGAAGCCTGACTTTGCTTATAAGACGAAACATCAAAGCCTGAAATTTACTGCATTCTACACGAATATATCATTAAGATAACCATACAATCATATCCTATGTTTATGTACAATCATCATCCTAAAAACACAATCACATAATTCTATTATGACTATGATATGCTATAAATCTAATATTATATTAAATGACTATGCAGTACTCTGTGATAACATAACAATCAATAGTATAAAAGCACAACTAAAATCCACAGCGAGATTGTCCATGTTCATTTTTCGACGATTTCTACAAACATATATCACTGATAAATAATTGAGTACTGTCATATACAATAAGTTTACAGTCGGGAAAATATTTCTACCATTCTTTATATGCATATCATCAAAATCTTATATAAATATTAACAGCAATACAGAACAATAAAAATTGAACAAAACATAATTCGTTTCACCTTAACAAAAAAAATGCAAAAACCTGGTTATTGATTCATGACGAACGAAGTTGTTCTTGACAGATGAAATCTTCCAAAATTTTCTAATATACAGATGAATATTTGAGAATCAAAGTTTAAAAAAATAAGATATATTGCTAAAGATTGATACGAGATCGCTGATTATACGGGATGTGATAATTTCCAAACCCACGTAACTGTTAATTCACCTTCTGTCAAATTGAAGGGCATACTTGGGATAAAATAAAATAAAAGGCTGTATTTCCATTATATCACGAAATTAGGGATTTAGTTTAGAAAAAAATATTAGGGTTGTGTCCCATATCTAATTGGGTTTGGTTTGAGGGACTTCCATCATATTAATCCATTTAATAATGGCAACCAAACTAAATATTTATCTATGCAAACCTAAGTTGGACCAATGATATGAGTTCTATTATCAATTACTGACATTCCAAATTCATCAGAAACTCTTTCTTTTTTTTCTGGGCAAATGACAAAATGGAGATGATAAGGGACTTAAATGTACATTGGTCTACAAAAGAAAAATAGTTTTTCAAATAAACTCATCCCCGCGTCTTTAGTCTAAACTACCCTCCATAATATAATTTTTATCAATTTCATCCATTATGCACTAACTTACTTAATATTACACAATGACCCCGGATTTAAACAAATATATTACATTAACCCCCATTTTAATAATTTTTCTGAAAAAATATTTTTTTTCTTAATTTCTTTTTGACAATTTTTTTCTGCCAGATTCCGGCGTTGACTTTTTTTTTTTAATTTTGTTTTTTCTTAGAAAAATATTTTAATTAATATTATTGTCTTGGTTGCTAAATTACTGTCTCAGACAATAATATTACTGGTTGCGACATTAATGTTATGAATATTATTTTCCCGAACAATAATATTACTAATATTACTGTCCAAAACAGTACGTAATATTATTGCATGAGACAGTAATATTACGGTCGGAGACAGTAATTTTACAGTCGAAGACAGCAAAAATGCAGGCCAAGACGATAAAATTAATTGATTCGGTAATATTTCTGTCTCTAAATTACTGTCTCCTAACAGCCAATACAATAATATAAATAAAAATATTTTTTTTCTAAGAAAAAAAATTAAAACAAAAAGTCAATTAACAGTTAAATTACTGTTTTGGACAGTTAAATAACTGCTGGAGCCATTTAGCAGCCAAGACAGTAATATTAATTAGAATATTTTTTTTAAGAAAACAAAAAAGTCAATTAATAGTTAAATTACTGTCTCCGGCAGTTAAATAACTGTTGGAGACAGTAATTTAGCTGCCAAGACAGTAATATTAATTAAAATATTTTTTAAAGAAAAAAAAGGTCAATTAACAGTTAAATTACTGTCTCCGACAGTTAATTATAACTGCTGGAGACAGTAATTTAGCATCCAAGACAATAATATTAATTAAAATATTTTTTTAGAAAACACAAAAAAAAAAACAAAGTCGGAGACCGGCGGTCAACGACGGCTGATCGGCGGTCTCCGGTGGTGGCCGGTCAAATTGAAATTATGGTCAAAATTGGTTAATTGGGCTAAATTGAGGTGTAAATCATAAAATTGAAGTTGAATTGAGTTTCAATGTATTCAGGGTAATTTTTGTATATATAAAAGAGTTTTTCTTATTTGCAAATAAATTTGAATGAACTGGAAATATTTGAAAGACAAAAAAGTTGGATGTACTTTTTTTTAATTAAGTGCCCTTATCTTGGGCTTTTTGAAATTAATCTTTTTTTTTAAGTGAAATAAGAAAAGCAAAAAGAAAAACTATTTACGTGAAATCCTAGTTAGAAATCTATTACATAATTATTTGCAGTTAATTTGTATCACATCAAAACTCTACTCCATCTCGAACAACAACTCTGCATGCATCTCTATATATAACTCATCGAGAACTCCAATTTCTCTGTACAAAATTCGTAAAGCTAATTTCTCCGACGAGCTAATTAATTAGAGTTACAAATTAAACAAGCAAAAGGGATCATGGATTCTGTTAAACTAGCAGCCGATGATGGTATGTAAATATATTTTCACAAAACTGTTTATTCTCTCTCTCTCTCTCTCTCTCTCTCTCTCTCTCTCTCTCTCTCTCTCTCTCTCTCTCTCTCTCTCTCTCTCTCTCTCTCTCTCTCTCTCTCTCTCTCTCTCTCTCTCTCTCTCTCTCCGCGTACTGAATTTATGTATTGCTACTATCAGAAACCACCAGAATGGAAACAAGAGATGCACCACCCACACATTTTTTGATCAAAATCGAATCGTTCTCTTTGCTTGAAAGCAATATCGAATTCGACAAATACGTGACGAAGGAATTTAAGGCCGGAAAATACAAGTGGTATGTATATACTATTCTCTATTAATTATTATGATGCAATTGTTTTGGATGGTTATAAAATTAACAAGTACGCGACTATGCTTGAAAATTGTGCAGGAGACTAATAATCTACCCTAACGGAGAAGATAATGGAGGAGATAACGACCATGTTTCGGTGAATTTAGCTATGGTGGCCACAAGTTCGATGCCTGCAAACTGGGAGATCAATGTCATGTTCAATATCTTCATCTTGAATCATAATTCGGGCAATTATCTTTGTTCGGGTATAATTTTTTCTTCATGCATGTGTATTATATTCCATACAATTCATTACAGTTTTCATCTCTCAAGTTTGCACCAATTACATATTTGATTCACCGTGTTCACAAAAAAAAAAATCATATTTGATCCCTCGTGTTTCAATAATTTAACACTTTGGGTCGTTTCCGTCGATTTACCGTTAGTCTGTCAGTTAAGTCAGCGATGGGTACACGCTTGATTCCGTTAGTACAAGCGGAAAAACGAAAAAGTGTTGAATTTTTAAAACACAAGGGACAAAATATATATTTTCTTGTGAACATGGGGACTAAATGTGAAATCGGTACAAAATTGAGGGATTTAAACTGTATTTTTCCCAGTAAATTACTTATTGCCTTACCACTTGGACAGCACGAACAAGACGATTTCATGCAATGAAGATGGAATGGGGATTTTCCAAATTTATCTCAAAGAAAATTCTGTGTGATCCATCGAAAGGATTCCTAGTCAATGGCAACTGTGTTTTCGGTGCTGAGGTTTTCGTACTCAAAAGTAAAGCAGTCACTGAATGTTTGTCTTTGAAGAATGTCCTCACTCCTTACAAGGGTAATTGGAATATTTCAAAATTTTCCAAACGAGGCGGTGTTTGGATGGCTAGAAAAATTAGTGTCGGAGGCTACAAATGGTACGATTGCATTTTTTTTTACTATTACAATTTACAATTATGTTTATGGGATTGTTTTTACTATATTTTGGACTTGGATGGAAATATGACACTAATTTAAATTTTGTGGATGAATATATATAGGGAGCTCTGGGTTTACCCGAAGGGAGATTCGCGAGGAAGTGGCCGGGATGTTTCCGTTTATTTGTACAATGTTACTCCCTTTTTCTCCGAAAGAATCAAGGCACGTTTTACCATATGGTTCGAAAACCACTTTTCCAAGGAGTGCATCAAAGCAACCGGTAAGTTATAATAACATCAAAGATTTGTAGAAATTTTTTAGGATGCTTGCATTATATTATGAAAAATTATAGTTTTCACACCGGAAGTTTGCATATATTACACATTCGGTCCCTCATGTTTCAATAATTTAACACTTTTGGTCATTTCGTCAATTTACCGTCAGTTCATCAGTTAAGGCAGTGATGGGCACATCATTGATTCCGTTAGTGCTGACGGAAAATTGAGAGAAATAACTAAAAGTGTTGATTTTTTGAAACATGGTTACACGAGGGACCAAATATTTTTCTTATGAACATGGAGGACCGAATGTAAAATCAGTACAATTTAATTAAGGGATGGAAACTATATTTTCTCATTATATTATTCCCAATTCCCTAATTTTTCGGAAGATGGTGATCTTATAATCTCTCTCATGTAAACACTTGACATTCTTTGGCTTGCAGGTGATAGTAATTTTTGGTTTACAAATTCAACCCGTGCATGGGGATGGAGTTCGTTCGCCGAGATTGCTACTATTAACGATCCAAGCAAAGGGTTCGTTTTGAACGACTCTTGTCTTATAAACATAGAGCTCTCAATCCAAGCCATTGCGAAAAGATCTTCACCTTCTATTTTCAACTGATGAAATTGATTGATCTTCACTTCAACTAGTGATTTTACTTTGAAGTATTTTTTTTGGGTTTTTGGCATCAAGAATTTTATATTTTCATACCTCTTTATATGTCGTCAGTAGCTTGTTCTTTTATTTTTTATTTTAGCTAATTATTCCCCCTCTTTTATAAGGAGAGAATGTATAGAAACTATTTGTTTTTTTAGTTTTTAATTTCTTTTGGAAAGGATATATAATACTTTTAGTCGAATAATATTCATCCATGCACAATTAAGTTTGACCCAATGATGTAAGTTTATTTTCAACCAAGGAATTTAATAACCAAGTTCAAAATCAGTAGTTCATCACAATTCAGAGCATGATATCTAATTTGGTTGGCTAAATTTATTTTCAACAACTAATAACCTCTTATATTTGATAAGATGTTTTAATAACCAAGTTCAAAAAATAGGTTTATACTGCGAATTTTTAATTAAAATAATATATATATATATATATATAATTTTATCATATTTCAAGTATGACAAAAAAAATTAAATTATTCTAATAATATATTGCACTTAATGGGATTTATGGCACGTCTCGTATTATTTTTTAGAGACATTGATATAAAAAATTAAAGATCGATAAGTAAATATTCATAAATTTTATTTAAAATAGTACAAGTTTTAACCATTTTATTTTATATTTTTATATTAAATATAATATATATCTATAATTTATATAAAATTGTGGAGAATAAACAAAAAAAATTAAGGGTTAAGATACATATTTACAAAACCTTTGGGGGGACCAAAAGTAATATTCAAAAATTATTATGCCAAAACAGCAAAAAAAAAAAAAAAAATTCTTTGGGGGTCAACTGCCCCCCCTTGCCCCTATGAAGTACCGCCCCTGCATGTATGTGTCGAAAATTGTCGATGGGTTTCAAAAAAAAAAAAAACACTTCAAAATTGACTGCGAAGCTAAAAAAAGGACATAGATACATACCTTAATGGTTTCTCCTTCTATGTATACTACCATTTTATTGTCTTGTGACTCCATTATATAAGTTTTGTGAGGTTTTGATTTTTTTTGATTTTGGAGATTTTTTGGAGGATTTGTAAGAGGATGAAGAAGAAGAGAGAGATCGGGTTTGGGTTTGGGGAGAAGTAGAGAGGGTTTTTTTTCTTTTTTTTTATACTTCGTATTGAAATGAAGAAAAAAAAATTGGAATGTATAAGTTGTATTTTGTTTGATGAGGGTTATCTTAGTACTTTGTTAATAAAAAAAATTATTTGTGGTATTAAATTAAGAAAAAAATGTTAAAACTTTTATAAAAAATGGTTTTAAACTCAGTGGTATTGAAGTGAGAAAAATTTTGTATTAGTTTTAGTCGCCCTCAAAATAAAAATGTGGGGTAAAAATAATTTTAATAAATATTTTATTTGCTCTACAACAACTTATTTTAAATAAAATAAGATTTTGTTTTTTAAATTACCACACACTTTGGAAGAATTTATAAGCTCTTAAACATCTTATAAGATTTTTTTAACATCGCCAAAAATCCTAAACATCTTATAAGTTATTTTAAACATCTTATAAACTTAACCAAACATCCTTCGAGACGAAAGAATCGTAAAAGAAATTGTTGTGTACATGTTTGAAGTAAAAGAAATACAAACACATTTTTGCCAACAATAAAGCTACAGAGGACTGAAACTCCAAAATGAAGAAGTTTAGCTTTAATATTTACGGCTCAGTTTCCAATGTCACGCTTCTCAATCTAAAACCACCGGTGGTGGCACCAACACACAGCAAAGCACCATAAAGCCCAGAAACCCTAGATCGAACAAGAATCACTCATACTTTGTCAACCCTTCAACCCTCTAACCAGAAACTCCAATTATCACCGAAAATGAACTCTCTCACTCGTGTTTCTCTCACTGAGGCTGTTGTAGCTTCACCAAGAACAGAGAAAATACAGAAGAAAATCGTTCGGACGAGATTCAAATTTGAGTTGGTTCTCCTCTCTCTCACAAAGTGTCTACTATATAGATAGAAAATAGATTGATCTCAAAAACGCAGAACAACAAATGAACGACCATCGTCATAGTCAAACGGGTGTGTTGCCGGAAAATGCCAAGAGCATTTAATGCGGTGGTACAACCAAAAGAGAGAGAGAGGGGCATAATAGGAAATTAGGGTTTGTGAGTTCCGGAGCATTGCAAGAGTTGCCCGAGAAAGTGGGCTAAGCAATGTTTTGAAAACCGGACCGGACCGGCCGGTCCGACCGGTTTAACCGGGAACCGGTAGCTAGTCCGGTCCGATCCAACCCCGAAAACCGAAAAGACCAAAAACCCGGGTCACTTGCTTACCAACCGGAAAAACCGTGGTTGAACCGGCAAAACCCGGCAAAAACCGGTCCAAAAACCGGTCAAAAAACCGGATTTTGCAGAAAAGGAGAACTACATAAAAATTATTTTGCTTCTCTGGAATTTTTTGAAGGAGTTTGCGTAAAAGATTAACAAGAAATCATGGTGGGAATTTAAAGAATTAAACGAGAGAAACGAAAACAAAATTAAAGATGAGTTTTTTTCGGTGGAGGATGCACAGGCAAGAAAGGAGAGAGGAGAGAGGTTAGGAGGAGGCGGCGAGATATATGTAGTAGGGTTAGGGTGTATTCACTAGTTTATATACAAGGGTATTTTTTTTTTTTTTTTTTTTTTATGTTTTATTAATCTAAAATCGACGTATTATTACTTACTAGTGGATTGTTGTTTATTTTCTTAAATGAAAATCAGTAATTTATTTATTGGTTAAGAATTTGTGGGTATGTGCTTAAATGAAAATTAATTATTTTTTGTATAAATTTTATTTATTTTATTTATTTTCAAGTTTATTATTAATGAACAATGAACAATGAATTTAACTAAAGTCTTGAGGATGATATTTAATAATGAGCATAAAGTATAAACTACAATTATTTTTAAATTATATAATAATTAAAAAGTTCAAAAAATTCGAAAACCCGGTTGAACCGAGGTTGAACCGGTCCAACCGTGACCCAGTTACTTGTCCGGTTCGATGTCCGGTCCGGTTTTCAAAACATTGGGGCTAAGTGTAGTTGGATTTTGTGATGCTAGGCCGCCTCATGTGAAGATGGATAAGTGGGCTGAATATATAATTCATTTGGGCAACAAAACCAACAGAAATACAATAATGTTTGATTTAGTCCGTAGGGCTTCTTCTCGTGATCCTTGGGTCCCGACCTTGATTCCGGTGAAAAGACCTGCAACGCCGGGAGGGGTTCCCGGCGGGAAAGCTCCGACGATCAAGTTAGTATAATAATTTTGGAGTAGGTTTATGCAAAGTACGTAAAAGCATGTGTGGAAAAAATGCAATATCATTCCTTATTTATAGATGAGGAAACCTTGGCCTCCAAGCTTTCCTTTTTTAGGGTTTCTCCCTACCCTCAAGTCACACGTTTTGGGCCTCTGATTATCCTGGGCTCGTTTTACCTCGTATTGATACTGGGCCTGCGAGCTAAGGTATCCCATTTCGTCTTTAAGGTCGTACGACCTAACGACCTCTTCTGCCCTACCGGGCTAGGTCGTCATGGGCTTATCATCGTGGGCTTAATCTCATTTGGCCTTTCCAGAATGGCCCGTATCAACTACTCCCCCCTACTCCTTAATTATCAGACGAGAAGACTTTGTACTACCTCGTTTGGTAACTATGGAGTATAAAGTACGAAGTAAGGCTTCGTTTCTAATTTTTTATTTTTGGTGGGGATGCGTGCCCTCCGCCTCCTGTCATCCTGTCAATCAATGTGCTCGATTCGAGTTCCCTAGGTCATTATGAGGGGATTTCAATCGGTGCGTTTGCATCGAGTTCGAGGCAGTCTGCTATTAATCTCGTTCGTCCGAATGGGCGGTTGAGATTCAATTCCCCTTCATTCTTTCCCCTATAAATACTCAACTGACTTGTTTTGCAGAACTTTTTCCCCTTTCACCTTCATGCTCTTCCTTCTATTTAATTTCCCTTCCGGTGATTTCGCTTTCTGAAACAGAGCTTTTACTTCTCGCGCCTATCCTTTTCCTCGACCAAGGTATTGCTTCTTTCCTCCGATCTTTTATTACCCTTACCTAGTTTTTTAAAATCAATTATGTCTTCCTATTCTCCTGACCCATTTGGCCAAAAAGTGCCTTCCGGGGAGGGAGGTGGACACCCCACCCTCTCTATTTCTTCTTCGTCGGAGGAGGGACCTTACTTCTCCCCTTCGGGCAAACTTCTGGAACGACCCAAGAAAAGGGGCAGAAAAGATGTTTCGTCTTCCGCGAGGAGTGGTTCTCCTTCTCTATCTGAAGGACGGGATTTAGATGACCAATGGGGACCGAGTACTTTAAGCGAAGTAGATCTCACTAACTTAGCCCGCGACATAGGCCTCCCTAC